AGTATCCCAAGAGTTGGCGGTGATGACTAGCTGCTTTCTTTCTAGTCTTACACTGCTAACTTAGGGACGGATAGCGCAGATAGCCCTCGTGTGGCTTTGCGCGAAATTCAAAACAAACAAACAAACCAGTTCGGTAAAATAAACGAGTGGTGTTACGAACAAATTTGTTTGCAGATCATTAGATGTTTGGAGGTTGTCCACAGACTGCTCTTGAGAGGACAAAAAACAAAATGTAAGTCATATGATTATTGGAAAGACTATGTGCAGGATGGGTAAGGATTGTCCATCCAAATTTCTCATTTGCAACTGTTTCACAAAGAGTAAAGTAAAATGGTAATACTGCTATGCTAATATCACACTTTTAATTATTGTTTCTTAACCTTTAATAGGGCCTATATAGTAATTATAGTTTGGAATTTTCTGTTAGACTTCTATATAACATACAACAGCACAAACTTTTAATGAATAGACAATGTCACCAGTCAGCAATCAGTTTATTGAACATTCACTTGTCACTTCAACAAACATTTTTTATATATGTAATGCTACTATCTAGTCAGGGTAACTTGAACTAGATTTGTAAATAATTTCCTCTGTATTCACAAGAAGTGATCATTAAGTAGTCAGTGGCGAATAGTATATTGTTAAGCGCAAAACTACACTCCGAGTTTTAACCCTTAAGTTACCACTGAACCACCGAGAGGGAGGAGGGATGCAGTAAACAGAGGAGAACAGTTTTTATTATACATTTACAACCAGATATGGGCCTATAGGTGAAGTTCGATAACTTACTGTGAAGCAAAGTAGAAACGATTGGATAAGAATAAAAAATAGCGTTGTTAAGTATTTTCAACCAACTAAGAAACAAAGACAAAAACTGGAGTCTCTTAGTTCTATGTACTGCAAGAAAACATGTGTCCTTAATGGTACTAGAATTAGTGACTTTTGAAGCAAAGACATTATTAGTGACTTAAGTAATAAATTACATGTTAGGCTCTCTTGAGCTATAACCTGAGCCTACATTCCTTAGTGACCTTAATTAGCATTTGAAAATAATTTGAATGGTCAACTATAGTCACATGCCCAAGTACACTCAATCTGATAGGCGCTTTGATTGATCGATTGTTTAGGAAATTCGTGAAAACCTCCACAATTGTTATCAGCGTTAACAGTCCCTAATTTGGAGTGATAGGCTAGAGGAAAGGCAGCTAACGAACAGCACCCATCGCCAACCTTGACCTTCTCTAATCGAGAAATGGAATTTTACCGTCGCTCGTGTAATACCCCCACGATCACAAAGTGTATAATGAGATTTTACAACAACGGAACGCGAATACTGGGCCTCAGATTCACAATCCGGCATCATACCTAGTAGGCCACGCCCAGCTATTTTATAAAGGGTTAACATACAAACAGTACATCGAAATTAGCCTAAGAAACTTTACTGTGAATCTTTAGTTCAATATTTCGCTTAAGACTTTAAAACTCACTCTCAAAACAAATTCATTGTTAGTACTTTGTGTATGTGTGTGTGTGTGTTTTTGCACAAACAGAACTAACAATCGTTCTAACGCATAATTATAAGCACGATATTTAAAGCGATGGTTCTTAATGGCAGTTTTCGTTTATGTACCTGAGGAAATCCATAAACAATCCTGAATGATTCTCCGGTAGTTTAACATGTAAATCTTCTGTTTGGGCTGATAGTTCTTTTTAAATGTTCACGGATATATCTGCAATTTATAAATGCACTGTTGCTTATGCAATCATAAGCGTCAAAAGTCTAAACATTTTCACACATTTTTTTTATAACATCAAAAATGTTTTGAACACGAATGGTTTGGTTTGTTCTAAATTTCGCGCAAAGCTATTCGAGGGCTATCTCTGTTAGCCGTCCCTAATTTAGTAGTGATAGACTAGAGAGAAGGCAGATAGTCAACATCACCCACCGCCAACTTTCGGGTGGGCTACTCATTTGCCAATGAACAATTGGATTGATTGTAACATTACAACCCCCCCCCCACACGGATAAAAGGGTGAGCATGTTTCAAAACCTTCAGTATATATTATTTAGTACATAGATAAACATAAACAGGTGTATAATCTTGTTCATAGAGTTTACAACTACAACCAGTTGTGATACATTTTTCAGCTACGATGTCACTTACAGCAGTATAATTTGTTTTTTGTTGGTGTTTTTCAAATCTAGAACCAGATATATCCGTCGAAGACAACTGATGTTGTTTATGAATAAATTTGTCTTTGTTGTAAACAAGACTACATCGATCCCATACGAAATGGTTACTGACTCGCGCAAGCGATTATTTAAATATGAAAGGCCCATTAGATTGTGCGTACTTGGAGATGAATATGACGTAGTATCCATTCTAAGTTTTAAGATCCCAACTGAAACTAATGACGAAAGAGAGAAGATGCTTATCCACAGGATCATCTCACAACTCAACTGGGCTCAAATGTAACTTATCAAGTTATCTAATGTCCTCTGACTTTAGTAATTATGTTTTTAGCATGAACATTAGTAAATGCTTAAGTGTTTATGGTACCAAAAGTAACATTAAGCGTAATTATGTACCACAGCCAGAGATGGTTAGTTAGAATAAGACGAAACAGCTCATTTCCATGTCCTGTGTGCTTGATAAAGAATATTTTGAAGATATTAAAATGTCAGAATCGCACATTGCTTCATCATTGCTAAGTAATCCTGCTTTGTTCAATTTTGGTCATTTATTCTCCCACATGTGAACGTTTGTTGACTTTATGACTACGTTCATGTCTGGAAAGACAATTATATGCCACAGGCATACCAATAACTATACCAGTATGCTGTCCTCGGGTACCCATGTCCAGCTCTACAGCTTATAACCCAATATCAACTGTGAAATCCTCTAATGAATAGACAACTTGAAAGAGTTGATAGTGATGTAAAGATGATTGTGGCTGGTTGGTTATTTGAAGTTCAGCGCAAAGCTACACAATGGGCTATCTGTGCTCTGCCCACCACGAGTATCGAAACCCGGTTTCTAGCAGTGTGAGTCCGCAGACATGCCGCTGTGCCACTGGGGGGGGGGGACATGATTGTGGAAGAAACACGCACACTGGGCCTTTAGTATGATGATTAAACACAATACACTGGTGTAGAACTTCTTAATTATTACATAAACGCCAGGTATCTGCAAGAACACCAGCACAAACACAGACAGACATACAAGAAAATACATGCTTGACAACATATTGAAGGTTTTTGGCGTTGTAGCAGGCAATGAAGTTGAACTTTGTATAATATATTTTTAAGGGAAATTCCACTTGGGCGGATCAGGTTGACTAGTAACACAAATTATGAATCCTCATTATTGTGAAACAAACACGACGAAAATATCAAAATTCACAAAAAGGACAGTTTTTAACGTTCAAACAGATATACAAGGTACATAACGTAAAATATTACCAACTAAGTAAAATTCAGTATGTTTTACTTCCCTTAGTCATAGGATTTGGCAAGTATTTCAAAATCTTGGTGAGGTTGAATTCAATAAAGTTCCCAAAGTCCCACCATTACTCTCCATTGTAATTTTCAAATGTTACCTGTGAATCTATAAAAAAAAGCTATCATTGTTAGTTATTAACAATTCAGCGACATTTTCCCAGGTCGAAGATCGTTGGAGACTTTTCTTTATAAACACAAACAAGGGCGTCATAGTTAAACCTACTTACCACCTACACTCTCGTACCCAGAAAGTTTTTAGAACTTTGCAACCTATCCATCATTCGACAGTAAATGTGTGTAAAAGTGAGAGCCACTTACAGAGGTCAAAGAATTCTTCTTTCCTGATTCCTGTGGAGCTAGTGAGAACATTCCAAACACCCATGTGCCTTCTTAACAGTAAATCCACTCCGTCTTTTCTGTAAAGAATGCTACTTCTTAGCGTAGTGAATGACGTCGTTTAGGTACTGTTATTGAGTGACGTCTTTTAGGTACTGTTATTTTTCACGTTCTTCTTCTTTTTTTAACTTATTTTTCTCAATGTCTTCTGCTAATAAACAATCAAGTAATACAGAATACTACTACATTATAAACATAGTATGCATTAATTTTTCTTAAGCTGATATTTGAAATAAGAAAAGGAAAAAAAATCTAATCATTTCCCTTGGGTAATGCCAATATTTTAACAAATGCCCAAACCACTACTCGCAAGTTATCTTGGGAAGGATAAAATATAGACTTTCAATCATAGTAACCCAGCATGTTAGTTTCTAAACAATACATTAAAAAAACCACATTACGATCCATATATTACATGTTCAAATAATGGTAATGACTCTGGCTTTACACACATCCAATTGATATTCCCCTCACATCCAAGTATACATTTCACTTTTGAAATAACCTTTTATCATATTGCATTTAGCGCTTTGTTAAATATTTGAATTCAATATTTTGTTGTACTAAACCTTTTAAACAATGATTTTTATGTATATAGTTACCTGAAGTACTATACATGTTTCCTTACATCAGTATTAGTTAGCCCTACCTTATGAAACTCTGGAACATTTTATTAGAATGTATATTTTACGTTTCGCGTAACGTCAGAAATATTTGTTTGATGTATCTGAGTATGCAGCTGTTGATGTATCACCATATATTATGGAGTTGATATTGATAAACATTATATCCAGTTGTACATTAACTTTCTCTCAGGATACATCCTGTTAAACAGCTGATGAAGTATTACAGTATATCGGATTGTACAGTTAAGGTTGTATCATTAAACATCTGACTAAGCAACTGATGAGGTAATATGTTTGTTTTTGTAGCAAAACTACATTGGGCTATCTATTGTGTCCATCGCAGGTAATCAAACCCCGGATTTTAGTATTGTAAATCCGTAGATGTAGCGTTGTCCCATCAGGGGACCTGATGAGGAATCACAGAATATCAGATTGTACAGTTAATGTTGTATTACAAAACATCTGTATCACAATATGTCCAGTTGAATAGTTCGTAATGTGTCACAAGATATTCGTTTATATATATATTTAGAAATGTATATAGCAAAATACGTAATGCGCGATATCCAGATTCGAAATGTGCGGTTTAAGAGTTAAAATACCTTTGTACAGTTGGAGAGCGTTACAGTATCCTAACGATGCACGTGAATATTCCTAATTTGGGTCAACTCAGAACAAGAGTTGAAATATTATCTTATTACTCCCAGTTGGAGTCCTCTAAGCACACCAATAAAAGCACAGTTGAAATATTCTCACAATACTTCTACCGGGAAACACCTTAGAACATTCCTAGAAACAGAGTTGAAGTCTTTTTACAATACTATTAGTTGAGAGCCAGCTCAGAACACTCCTAAAAGTACAGTTGATGTATATTCACAATACTTCTACTGGGAAACACCTTAGAACATTCCTAGAAACAGAGTTGAAGTCTTCTTACAATACTATTAGTTGAGAGCCAGCTCAGAACACTCCTAAAAGTACAGTTGATGTATATTCACAATACTTACAATGACAAAATAGGAAATGTATTACAATATTTGATATTGTACATTTTGAAATCATCTTAACGTGTTCAGTACTATTGTTGCAAT